ATGGGAAGGAATCAGCAAAAAAACTCTGAAATATGAAGAGTCAAACTGAAAGGACACCCCCAAAAAGGAACACCTGTTGCCTAGCCATGGATATCACCCATGATATGGGTGATACAGAACACTAAAATCACAGAAGAAGAATTTCGAGTATGGATTGTAAGAAAACTCAATGATATGCAAGAGAAAATGGATACCCAACACCAAGAAACTACACACACACAAATCAAAGACTTGGAAAAAAAATTCACTAAAGAAATTGAAATATTAGGCCGGGCGCGGTGGCTCACGCCTGTAATCCTAGCTCTCTGGGAGGCCGAGGCGGGCGGATTGCTCAAGGTCAGCGAGTTCAAAACCAGCGCTGAGCAAGAGCAAGACGTCTCTACTATAAATAAAGAAGAAATAATTGGCCAACTGATATGACCTATAAAAAATAGCCGGCGATCACGGTGGCGCGATGCTGTAGTCCCAGCCTACGTCGGGAGCCTGAGGCCAAAGTAGGATCGCGTCGGACGCTCAGGAGTTTGAGGTGGTGCTGTGGCTAGGCCTGACGCCCATGGCACTCACTCTAGCCTGGAGCAACAAAGTGAGACTCTGTCTCCAAAAAAAAAAAAAAAAAAAAAAAAAGAAATTGAAATATTAAAGAAAAATCAAATTGAACTCCTGAAAATGAAGAATTTATTCAAGGAACTACAAAATACAGTGGAAAGCCTCAAGAACAGGGTAGGTCAAGCAGAAGAGAGAATCTCAGATTGAAGATAACACCTTCCAATTAAATAAGTCAGTCACAGAGAAAGAGCAGAAAATCAAGAGAAAAGAGAAAAACCTACAAAAAATGTGGGATTATGAGAAGAAGCCTAAAGTGAGAGTTATGGGCATCCCTAAGAGCTAAGAAGAAAACACACAAGGTATGAATAAGCTATTTGAAGATATAATAGAAGACAGTTTCCTAGGCCTTGCTAAAATCTAGATATTCAGGTATAAGAAGCCGAAAGGACCCTTCGGAGATTCAATGTAAACGAGAAGACAGCATGACATGTCATCAGACTGACCAAACTATCCACTGAAGAAGCCCTCTAAAGATCTGCAAGGCAAGAGAAACAAGTAACATACAAAGGAAAAACAAAGCCCGACCGAATAACGCCAGACTTCTAAACTGAAACCTTACAAGCAAGAAGAGACTGTGGTCCCATTCCCATTCTTCTGAAACAGAATAATGCCCAACCTAGGATCTTGTTTCCTGCAAAACTAAGTTTCTTCTATGAAGGAGGAATAAAGACCTTCTCAGACAAGCAAAGATTGAGGGAATTCATCAAGACAAGACCTGCCCTCCAAGAAGTACTCAGAACAGACTTACACTCAGAGCTGCATAATATACACCAGTGTAAAACCATCCAAAAGCTAAATGCCAACAGCCAGATACCACAGACGCTCAAGAGAGAAAATAGAGCAACAAAGTTTAAGTCCACAGGATGAACAGAAATCTGCCCCACTTATCAACTCTTTCCATAAATGTAAATGGTTTGAACTGCCCACTAAAGAAACATGGGGTGGGTGAATGGATAAATATACACAAGCCGGGTATCTGCTATCTTCAGGAAATGCATCTAACCCACAATGATACATTCAGACTAAATGTGAAGGAATGGAAAACAATATTCCATGCAAATGGAAGCTAAAAGAAAGCTGGCAGAGCAGTTCTGATTTCAAATAACTTAGTCTTCAAATCAACAAAAGTAATAAAATGCAAAGATGGACAGTATATAAGCAATTCTAAATGTTTATGTACCTAACTCAGGTGCACCCAGACTCATAAAGCAAATGCTATCTGCTCTAAACAAAATGATAAACAGCAGCACCGTAATACCTGGGGACTTCAACACTCCTATGACATAACAGGGGAGATCCCCCAAACAGAAAATAAAGAAACAAATAGGCTTGCACGCAACTCTGGAAAAAATGGCCCTGAGTCACAATTACAGAGCATTCTACCCAAAAACCACTGAATATATGTTTTCCTCATCAGCTCATGGGACATTCTCTGGGATTGACCATAACTTAGGCCACAAAGTATGTCTCAAAAATTTTAAAAATTTAGAAATTATATCATTCATCTTTTCAGACCACAGTGCAATAAAATGAGAAACCCACTCTAACAGAAACTCTCATCTCTACACAAAGTCATGGAAACAAAACAACTTTCTTCTGAACAATTATTGGTTTAGGGAGGAAATTAAGATGGAAATCAAAAGATTCTTTCAACCAAATGATAAGACACAAGCTATCAAAATCTGTTGGAAACAGCTAAAGCTAAAGCTGTGAGGAAAATTCATATCCATAAATGCCTACATCCAAAAGACAGAAAGATCATGAATCAATAATCTAATGAAGTATCTCAAAGAACTGGAATAGGATGAGCGCACCAACCTCAAACCCAGTGGAAGAAAAGAAATAACAAAGGTCAGAGCAGAAATAAATAAAATTGATAATAGAAATAAATAAAATTGATAACAAAAAAACTGTATGGAAGATTAATAAAACAAAAAGTTGGTTCTTTGAAAAAATAAACAAAATTGACAGGCCTCTGGGTAGATTAACCAGAAGCAGAAAACAAAGGACACTAATAAACACAATCAGGGATAAAAAAGGAGAAATTACAACTGATACCATGGAAATACAAAAAATCTACTGTGAATACTATAAAAACCTCTATGCACATAAACTTGAAAATGTGGAGGAAATGGACACTTAGAAACACATAACCTCCCTCAGATCAATCAGGAAGAAATAGAATTCCTGAAGAGACAAATATCAAGTACTGAAATTGAAGCAGCAATAAAAATCCTTCCTAAAAAGAAAATCCCTGGACCAGTTGGTTTCACACCCCAATTTTACCAGACATACAAAGAATATGTGGTGCCTATCCTGCAGAAATTGTTCCACAATATAGAGAAGGAAGGAATCCACCCCAACATGTTTTCTGAAGCCAACATCACTCTGACAGGAAAGCCAGGAAAAGAACTCAACAAAAAAAGAAATCTATAGGCCCATATCCATTGTGAATATAGATGCAAAAATTCTCAATAAAATCCTGGCAAATAAAATTCAGCTGCTCATCAAAAAAAAAAAATATTGCCTCCTCCAGCAAAAAAAAAAAAAAAAAAAGAAACAAAAAAAAAATAATAATTATTATAATCCATCACAACCAAGTGGGCTTCATTCCAGAGATGCAGGGATGGTTCAACAGATGCAAATCTATGAATGTAATTCACCACATAAATAGAAGTAAAAACAAAGACCATATGATCCTCTCAATAGACGCAGAAAAAGCACTTGAGAAAATTCAGCACTCTTTTTTGATAAGAACACTTAACAAAATAAGCATAGACAGGACCTACTTAAAAATGATAAAAGTCATATGTGACAAACCCACTACCAACCTCATAGTGGATGGAAAAGTTGAAAGCATTCCCTCTGAGAACTGGAACCAGACAAGATTGCCCTCCATCACATTTGTATTCAACATTGTGCTTGAAGTCCTAGCCAGAGCAATCAGGCAAGAGAAAGAAATCAAGGGCATCCAAACAAGGGCAGAAGAGGTCAAACTATGGCTCTTTGCTGATGATACAACCTTATATCTGGAAAACCCCAAAGATTCTGCCATGAGACTACTGGAATTGATAAACGCAATAAAGTCTCAGGTTCAAAATCAATTTACAGAAATCAGTAGCATTCCTATACACCAACAACAGTTAAACTGAGAACCAAATCAAAGCCTCAATACCCTTCACAATAACAGTAAAGAAAAGAAAATACCTAGAAATATGTTTAACTGAGGAGGTGAAAGACCACTACAGGGAGAACTATGAAACACTGAGGTAGGAAATAGCAGGGGATGCAAACAGGTGGAAAACCATACCATGCTCGTGGGTCAGTAGAATGAACATTGCTAAAATGTCTATACCACCCAAAGTGATTCTACAGATTGAATGCAATCACTACTAAAATGTCAACATCATTTTTCACAGATCTGGAAAAAATAATTCTATGGTTCATATGGAACCAGAGAAGACCCCCGATAGCAAAAGCAATCTTAAGGAAAAAGAACAAATTGAGAGGCATCATTTTACCAGGCTTCAACCTAAACTGCAAGGGTATAAAAACTAAAACAGCATGGAAATGGCACAAGAATAGAGACATACACCAATGGAACAAAACTGAGAAGCCAGATATAAAACCTAGTCATCTAATCTTTGACTGAGCAGACAAAAACATACACTGGGGGAAAGAATCCTTATTCAATAGTTGGTGCTGGGAAAATTGATTAGCCACATGGAGAACACTGAAACAGGATCCATACCTCTCACCTCTAATAAAAATCACCTCACGGTAGAAAGACTTAAACCTAAGTCATGAAACAATAAAAATTCTAGAAGAAAATGTTGGAAAACTCTTACAGACATTGGCCTAGGGAAAGAATTTATGAAGAAGACCCCAAAGGCAATCACGGCAACTACAAAAATAAATAAATGGGACTTGATCAAATTAAAAAGTTTCTGCCCAGCCAAGGAAACTATCATGAGATCAAACAGACAATCTTCAGAATGAGTTGCAAGCTACACATCTGATAAAGGGCTGATAACTAGAATATACATAGAACTTAGGAAAATCAGCAAGAAAAAAAAATTGAAAAAATCAAACAACCCCATTAAAAAGTGACCAAAGGACATAAACAGAAACTTTTCAAAAGAAGAGAGCTTAATGGCCAAAAAACATATGAAAAAAGGCTCAACATTTCTAATCATCAAGGAAATGCATATCAAAATCACAATGAGATAGCACTTAACTCCAGCGAGAATGGCTTTTATCCAAAGTTCAAAAACAATAAATGTTGGCGTGGATGCAGAGAGATAGGAACACTCATACACTGCTGGTGGGACTGCAAACTAGTTCAGCCTCTGTGGAAAGCAATATGGAGATACCTCAAAGAGCTACAAGTAGACCTACCATTTGATCCAGCAATCTCATGATTGGGCATCTACCCAAAGGTATCAAATGCACAATCTCAAAGAGATATTTTTGTCCACTGACATTCGTAGCATTGTCATTCGCAATGACCAAAAGGTGGAAGCAACCCAAGTGTTGACCAGTGATGAAGGGTGAACCAGACGTGGCCTCTGCATACAGCGGACTGTTATTGAGCCTGAAAAAGGGAGGAGATTCTGACGCATGCTACCACATGGAGAGCCTGGGGACACTGTGCTGACTGAACACGCCATTCACAAAAGGTAAATACTGTCAAATTCCTCTGATACCCAGAGTAGTCAAATTCCAGGAGACAGGAAGTGGAAGGGGGGTTGCCAGGGGGCTGGGATTAGGGCGTTACTGCTCACGGGCAGAGCTTCAGCTAGCGAGATGAGTGGTGTAGACAGGTGGAGGTGCTCGCACAACAGTGTGAGTGTCCTTCACGCCACTGAGCTACGCGTGCAGAAGGGCAAAGCTGGGGTGTTTTCCGTTATGTGTATTTTATCATGATCAAAATAAGTAGTTTTTAAAACTTTAATTAAAACATTGATGGAAAATAAAGGCAGGGATGTAGGGCAACTGTTAGCAGCAGTTTCGGTTCATGGAACCACTTTGAGAAAGCTATTCGTCAGTAACCGCTCTTCCACGCGGGCCCCATGGCCTAGGAGTCCCACTTTTAGGGACACGCCCAACAGAAATGCCTAAGTGCGTCCCCAAAAAGGAAAGTGCACAGATGCTCTTAGCAGCCCTGTGGATCAGAGCCCCAGACGGGAAGGAGCCGAAGTGTGCAGAGCAGCGTGGTGAATCTATTGCTTTGTTTTCACACGACGGCATAATGTATAGCAGTGTGGGTAAAGGATGTACACTGTGCAGCAAATGAGGAATCTCGGGAACAATATTGAGCCGAGGAAGCCAGTACAGAAGAGTTCATGCTCAGTGGTTCCCTTTATAGAAACGGCAGCATCAGGCAACACTGAGCTGTGCTGGTAGGAGTCAGGCTAGCGGTGTCGTGGGCCAGGGGCTAGACGTCAGATGGGTCTCCAGGAGATTCCGGGGTGCCGATAATCTGTTTCTCGATCTTGGTACTGGGTACAGGATGCGTTCCATATGTGGGAAAAGTTATTGTAAATTGTATATCCATGTGCATCATTTTGAAATTAAAAATATTTAATTTAAAAACATCAGATTGCATATGGAGCCCAGGATGAAAGAGAGACCCTCAGCCAGTCGTGCCCTCCCCAGCAAAAGCCAGTCCTCGGCGACCATGTGGTCCATTGCGTAGAGAGGCTGCCACCGGGCTCGAAGCAGTGCGGCGCGTCAGGGTGGCAGCGGGGCCCAGGGCTCCACCGCGCTCCTGGTGTGCGACAAGCAGGGCCACGTCCACCCGTGTGCCAGGACCACCATCGCTGCCTACCTGCCCCTCAAGGTGAGCCAGGGGCCCTGCCCTTCACCACCCACCCTGCCCACTCCTTCCCCGGTGAGAGTTACTCACTCGCTCTGCCAAATCTGCACGAAAACCCAATTGTTCAGAATAGCTTTTGACATACTCCGTGTCCCCGTGATTCTCTGGCTGAAAGCAGGAGTTGGTGTAGAAGGAGCAGAGCCCCCCACAGGGGACAGTGGCTGCCGACATCCATGCGACCACGTGAGGGCATGAGGGCGGAACCTTCATAACTGGGATTAGTGCCCTTTTACTAGGGACCCCAGAGAGCTAGCTTGTCCCTGCCACCATAGACGGACGCAGCAACACATTTGCTTTGTTTTGTTATCTTTGCAGAATATTTTTCTTTTCTCATATAGTTGAGATCATGCCACAGGGACAGAGGAACAGACACTCCTGCCCTTAATGGGTCCACAGGCTGAGCAGGGAAACAGGACCCGGGTGATTGTGTCCTTGTAGTATGATGGGCACCAAGCGAAGTGGGGACCCACGGCGAGCCCGGGTGCCGCAGGGTGGCGCTGGGGGAGAGAGGACGCAGAGGCCCCCTGGAGGCAGCAGCGCTGAGCCTCATGGTGTGATAGCGGGCGCAGGGCAGCCTCTTGAGGGTGGGGACGACAGGGCATGGTGGGCAAGAGGAGCTGGCGCTGGCCTGAAGGCGGGACTGGGGCCAGGCTGGGAAGGCCCGAAGCCCAGGACAGAGTCTCGGGAGTATCACGCGGCGGCCTGGGCGACAGCGGGGTTCCATGCTGTCCCTCCCTCGCTCTTCCCTGCGGGCAGTGGCTGCACCCAGTGCCTCCCCGGCCTGGGGTATACAGTGGTGCTCAGTTAATCCGACTGCGCGAGTCTGATCTGGGCCGGGTCAGGCAGTCTCGCTCGCGGGACACGCGGCAGCAAGCAGAGGCAGGCAGTGTGCCGCCCAGGGCCGTGAGGGCTGTCCTTGTCCTCTGGAGCCGGCGTGCGGCCTTGCCCACGGGACCCTGTCCGGCGCGGCCCAGTGGCTTTCCCGTGTGCCCGCCCCGCCCAGCGCAGGACGCGCCGAGCGTGAGGCCCCAGCGTCGGCCTGTGAGTCACCCGCTGTGGGGCCTGGCCGGCGGGGCAGGGCTGTCGCTCCCTCAGCCTCTGTCTGGAGTGGAGGAGCCGCACTGCCGCCCTGGGTGAGGGAGGCCTCCAGGGCCAGGCGGCCATTCAGCAGGGCCGGCAGCACCCTGGCTTCGCTGGGCTTGTGTCCTGGACGCGTGAGTGGCCTGGACCTGGGCTCCCAGGCGCTCTTCCCGGGGCGGCTGCCGTGCGGCCTGGTGCTGGCCTGCAGCTGGTCATGGCCGCCTGGACCCGGGCTCCCAGGCGCTCTTCCCGGGGCGGCCTGCCGTGCGGCCTGGTGCTGGCCTGCAGCTGGCCGTGGCCGCCTGGACCTGGGCTCCCAGGCGCTCTTCCCGGGGCGGCCTGCCGTGCGGCCTGGTGCTGGCCTGCAGCTGGTCATGGCCGCCTGGACCTGGGCTTCCAGGCGCTCTTCCCGGGGCGGCCTGCCGTGCGGCCTGGTGCTGGTCTGCAGCTGGTCATGGCCGCCTGGACCTCACGGTGCTGGCCTTGCCCCTTCAGCTCGACCCCCGTGCCGGGCCGGCCTCCAGAGAGCTCGTCCCGGTGCAGGACGTGAGGCCGAGTCCAGGAGGGCGACCCCACCACCGCCGTGGCGTCCAGGTGGCCCTCGCCTGCCCGGCCCTGCGGGCGAGACCACCAGGCCCTCGGCCCCTCCGCGCCCGCCCTCCGCGCCCGCCCTCCTGCAGGCCGAGCTGCCCGTGGAGAAGGCCCAGGTCCTCTTCCTCCACGAGCAAGGCAGACGTCGGCAGGGCCCCAGGAGGCCGGGGAGTCACCGTGGTGAGCGGGCTCTAGTCCCTCCCCTGGGCCGCTGTGGGTAGTGGACCGACTGTGGGAGGAGCTGGCGCTCAGTCACGGCTGGCCGGGCCGCGTCCTTAGAGTGTCGCTTTACTCGGCAGCTCAGTCACGGCCCTGCCGCCCCTGTGGGTCACTCCACATCCGCACCTGCTCGCCCTGTTGCTTGCCGAATGGTTCCTTCCACTCCATCTTCCAATTAAGACTAAAACATCACTTCGTAAGAGCACTATAACAACCTAAAGAAATTGTTTCTAGAGGATGCATCAGCTCTTTCCATTAACATTTTTCCCATGTTCTACCTTGACCCTGCCCCTATCCTTGCCAGAACTGACTTACCTCTGCCCGTTGGGGGGGAGGATTTAGCATTCTCCTTTTTCGATGATGTTATCCTAAGATTTTATATTTCCCTGTTGCGATATAGGCTGGGTGACTATTTTACACAGTCATATGTACTTTAGCTGTTCTCTTTTTCTGGAGCATGTGGATTGTTTAAAACATTTTGTTTTTTAAAAAAAATATAGCAAAGCATAGAACAAAAAGAGCAAAAACAAACAAACACCAGTGTCCTTCATGTCTGCACATCTGCATAACAAGTTACTAGGCAGTCGTGAAAAGTGAACTCGCTTGTACAAGAAGCTCTTACCACTGAATCTGCAGTAAATCAGCTCCCATAATTCATAAATGCCAAGGGTCACACTGACACCCACCCGGGTGATTTCACTGTAAACTTAGAATGGGGACCGGGCTGAAGGACAACCTGGGAGAAATATTCTGTGCTGTAGAGCAAAGTGCACAAAAGAGCTTGGTGGATGTTATATATGAAAACACCCTGCGTAACTGCAATCCGGACCCAAACCTTGAGCATTTTCAGCGCCCCGGGAGATCCTGCCACGCTTCCTCCCAGCCACAGACCTCCCCACACCCGCGAGTAAGGATGGTGCCGATTTCCACCCTCATGGATTAGCGGTGCCTCTTCCTGCACTCCGTGTCGGGCACAGCACAACAGGTACCTTCCTGTATCTTTCCTGTGTGTGACACTCACCCATGTTGTCACCTGCAGCTGTGGTTTGTTCTATTTCACACTGTGCAGTGTTGCATTCCTTGCAAATGCTACCACTGATGTTTCCATTCCTTTGCTTTGGTGGTTACAAAGTGTGTCATTTTGTGGGGATGGCACGTTTTTATACAAATAGGCTTTATTTATGTGGAGCAGTTACAAGGTTCACAGCAAAATTGAGCTGTGTGGAAGTCCAGAGCTCCCTCTTCCCCTCCCCCGACAAACACACAGCCTGCCCCGCCACCCACCCCCTCCAGAGAGGCACCTTTGTTCCCCCCAGTGAACCTGCACTGACACATCATGTCCGCCGAACAGACTCCAGTGTCTGCTGGCGCCTAATCCCTGATGGCTTTTCTTGCTCGAACTCTGCTGCGATCCTGCTTTCTTGGTTAGTCTTAGCATGATGTATTCCTCTCCATCCATTTACTCTCATGTGATGTGTCTTTGTATTTAAAGTGGGTTTCTGGTTTCTGGGTTTCTGACCTGCAGTCAGGTCTTGTGTTTTGATGCACTCTGACCATCTCTGTCCTACAGCTTAACCATTGACATTTAAAGTATCCATTGATAGAGTTGGATTAATGTCTGCTACATTTGTTAAAGTTTTCTATTCATTGTCCTTGTTCTTTGTTCTTATTTCTGAATTCACTTCCTTACTTCCTTTTATGCCTTTTGAAGTTTTAATTAATCATTCTGTATGATTCCATTTTTTCTTTTAAGATACTTTTTTTTAAAGATTTTTTAATTGTTGCCCTAGAGTTTGCAACTAGTCCGAGTCAACTTTCAAATAACACTGTGCCCGTTCATGGGTGGTACAAGTGCCTTATAATAAAAAAGTTCCTATTTCTTTCTTCCTCTCCCTTATATCATTGTTGTCATTCATTTCATATAGACATAAGCATACACACACACATCTACTTACAGTGAATGCATGTTGCTACTATTATCTTGAAGAAACTTATCTATTAGATCAATTAAGAATAAGAAAAATAAATGTTTTTATTTGTCCTGTACTTATTCCTTCTCCAATGCTCTTTTCTTTATATAGATCCCAGTCTCTACCCCATGTCATGCTCTTTCTCTCTGAAGAATTTCTCTTAACATTTCTTGCTAGGTAGGTCTACTGGCCACAAATTCCCTTGATTTTTGTTTGTTTGAGAAAGTCTTTATTTCTACTTCACTTTTTAGGAATAATTGTACAGAGAATAGAGTTGCAGATTGGTGGCCAATTTCTCTCAACACATCCAATATTTTACCGTCCTGTCTTCTCCTTACATGGTTTCTGAGGAGAATCTGGCATAATTCTTATCCTTATTCCTCTATAGATAAGGGTTTCCTCCTCCCACCTCCCACTCCCTTGGCTTCTTTCAAGATATTTTTCTTTATCTTTCATTTTCTTTCTTTCTTTCTTTCTTTCTTTCTTTCTTTCTTTCTTTCTTTCTTTCTTTCTTTCTTTCTTTCTTTCTTTCTTTCCTTTCTTTTTCTTTCTTTCTTTCTTTCCTTCCTTTCTCTCTGTCACCCAGGCTAGAGTGCTGTGGTGTCAGCCTAGTTCACGGCAACCTCAAAAAAAACCCTGGGCTCAAGGGATCCTCCTGCCTCAATCTCCTGAGTAGCTGGGACTACAGGACTGAGCCACCCCACCTGGTTAATTTTTTTCTATTTTTAGTAGAGACAGGGTCTTGCTCTTGAACTCGACAAGGTTTGGTCTCGAACTCCTGAGCCCAATAGATCCTCTGACCTTGGCCTTCCAGAGTGCTAGTCTCACAGGCGTGAACCACCACACCCAGCCTTCATCTTTGATTTTCCGAATTTTGCATATGAAATGTCTGGCGTTGTGCATGTGTGTGTGTTATTTTGGTTTTTGTTTTTACATTTTTCCTGCTGGGTGTTCTCTGAGCTTCCTCAATCTCTGGTTTGGTGCCTGACATTAATTTTGGAAATTTTCAGTCATTATTGCTTCCAGCATTTCTTCTGTTCCTTTCTTTCTTCTCTTTCTTGTATTCCCATTATATGTATGTTACAGCTTTCGTAGATGACCCACAGTTCTTGGATTTTCTGTTCTGTTTTTTTTTTTTTGGGCCAATCCTCTTCCTTCTCAGTTTTGGAAGTTTCTGCTGGTGTATCCTCAAGCCCAGAGATTCTTTCCTCATCTATGTCAGTCTAGGAATGAGCCCAAAGGCTTCCTTCACTTCTGTTACTCTGTTTCTGATCTCTAGCATTTCTTTTTTATTCTTTCTTACAAGTTCCATCTTTCTTACATTATACATCTGTTCTTGCATGCTATTGGCCTTTTTCAATAGACCCCTTAGCATATTTATCACAGTAGCTTTAAATTTCCAGTCTGATCATTGCAATATTCCTGCCACGTCTGAATCCAGATCTGACACTTGATCTGTCATTTGAAACTGTGATTTGACTTGATTTTACTTTTGCCTTTTACTATGCCTTGTAATTTTGGTTGAAAGCAAAACATGATGTCCTGGGTAAAAGGAACTCCAGTAAATGGGCCTTTAGCGGTGTGACCACATGGTGTTGGGGGAGGAGAGGCACTCTGTAGTTCCACAGTAGGTCTCAGCCTCTTTGGCATGCTATGCCCCTGAGCTGTGACCTTCCCATATGCTTCTCAGTCTCCTTCTCAACCCCCTTAGGTGGAACAGGATTGCATTCTTTTTTACAGCTGAATAGTACTCCATTGTACCCCTGTAATCTTGGGAAAGTAACTAAATATATAATAGAGGAAAAATAGACCTCACATTAACTTGCCTTGCCTAAATCTTCCATAGTCGTAGTAGCCATTGCCCTAAAATATCCCGTGTTGGGCATAGATGCTCCAACACAATGAATAATAAATTAAAATTAAATGAAAAGTTTGATACTTACAAAGTGGCTTAATAACATAAGATCCCACAGATCCCCAGTTAAAACAGTTAATATGGCCGTAGGTAAGTTAAAACAGGGCTTTCAAGGACTAAAACCTATTGTATCATATGTATCCAAAAGAAAGGAAGCTGACATAGACAGAGATCCCTGCGCTCCTGTGTTTGCTGCAGCACTATTCACAGTAGCCAAAATCTGGAATCAACCTCAGTGTCCCTCCATGGATAAAGGTGTGAGGCAAATGCGCCATTTATGTGCAGTGGCATGTTATTCAGCCGTAAAAAAGAACGCAGTCCTGTCACGTACAGCAACGTGGATGGAACTGAAGGACATTATGTTCAGTGAAAGAAGCCAGGCACAGCCACAAACAGCACATGTTCCCACTCATGTGGGAGCCAAAAAAGTGGGTCTCGTGAAGACAGGGAGCAGTTTGTTCTCAGAGGCCAGGAAGGGAAGGGGAGAGGGAGGGATGAAGAGAGGTTGATTCATGGGTATAAAAATACAAGTAGGTAGAAGAAATAGGGCCTAGTGTTTGGTAAATAAGTAACTATAGCAAACAAGGGTATATTATATATTTCAAAATAATAAGTAAAGAATAATTCAAATGTTTCCAGCATAAAGAAAAGATAAATGTTTAAGGTGATAGATGTCTCAACTACCCTGATTTGATTATTACACATTATATGAAGGTATCAAAATATCATATGTATGTCAAAAATATATGCATTTATTATATATCAATTTTAAAAACCTCTTATATAAAACCTAATTAATAAAAGGATTATTACTACTACTTATTATTATTACTACTACTATACCTACTGCTTCTGCATTTGACAGTCTAATTCTGCCTGTTTTTAAACCTAGAAATCTGGAAGAAATAAAGGACGCTGGCTGGTGGATTACTACGTTAATGATGTGGCCCCATCCATGAAGGGCCCGCTGTTGTTAAAATCATTGACCCCATTTAATCAATGACTGGCCAATATTTTGTGACTGTAGATTGGCTGGTGTGTTCTGTTCATTGTGTACATCAACTGCCTTTAGCACAGCTTGCCTTCAGCTCCAATGGGACAGAGTTTGCCCGTTCTAGGCCACCCCCAGGGGGACCTCAACAGCTCGGCCACCGCACACAAGCTTTGCAGAGAAGAGCTTAACTGCCTCCACCTTGCTCCAGGAGACAGGACACCCCAGACCCACGGCCCAGATGACATGGCCCAGAAGCTCACAGCTGGAGATGACATCACCTCAGACAGCGACGTCCCAGCCCGGGACCTCTCTATTGGAGATGGTGTCGCCCCTACACTAGAGACGACTGCACCTCAGACAGTAAACCTCCACCCCGGTGACACCCACAGAATGCCTTTCCTAAGGCATTGACAAAGTGGACATGGGACATTTTTTCCTTCGAGATTAGGAACACTGTTGTGTCTGCTGAACTATTGTCTGCCTGGCTCGCGATCTGGGAACACTCCTTGCTCTCTGCCAAAATGCGCACCCTCCCCACCGCGCCCATAGGGAAATCTGGCAGAGGCCGCTGCCATCTGTGGCATTCCCGAGTCAGTGCAGATTGTGCTTCTGCCAGGAGCTACCTGCCTCATGTCAGAGAACCCCTCGACCCCCTGGGAGAGGACCACCCATCCCTGGTGACTTCTGCTCTGCCCGCCAGCTCCTCCATGACCTCCTGCCCCGTGTCTGCGACCTTGACCACCACAACCCCCCCCCCAGTGTTTGCACGCACTGTGCTGGCCGCTCACTTCACACCCTCTAACCGCATGACTGCTGGACCTGCCGCCTGACCCAAGAAATACACCAAGATGTTATTGCCGAAGCATTTTTGAGGTATATGTATATATCTCATACTCTTATCGCACTTTCTGACTCTATCAAGATGTTGTTAGAGACCCTGGAAATCTCCAGTCTGTTTTCCTGGCTAACGCCATATGAATGAGAAACTCAGCTATAGGCTGGCCCACACGGACTTCTTAGAGTTCTACCTGTGTTCCTCCTTTTACTCTCATAAAGAATGTTTTCTACACCTTTTAGAATGAATTATGTCCTACTTTCTAAAGCCCTTCAATCATCACAAAGGTGCCTTAATTTGATGTTAAAGCATGACAGAACCAGATGTATTGATCACGTTTCTAGCTTCTATTAAACCAGTGCTGTAACATCTGCTCTCTATGCATAGACCCACGTTAGAAAACCCAACAAGAGCCTTGCTTTGGCCTCCTGCCTCCCTCGCCGCCCCTCCCTCCACCCCCCGTTCGCCGGGGGTCCTCCTACCAGGGTGTGCCTCTCAAATATAAACGGACAATCCAGAAGCCCGCACCTCCTTCATGCTCTCACATGCTGGGCCACTGTCCACCCGCCCTAATCACCCAGGACCAGGTACCAGTCAGCTAGGGACAGCCCCTAATTCCCAATTATTGTATTATTACCCAACTAGGTCAACCCTAAGCCTGTCACCTGAGCCCCACCTGTTCCTTCCGGGGGGACCACAGGAAAGGCTGTCCCCCACGCTCCTTCCTCTCGCTGCCCCAGGCCCCTGCGGCGTCCTGCGCACCCTCCTCTGGGGGCCGTGTGGGGTGTGGGACCATCTTTCCACAGCGATCATCGCCTCATCTGTTAGCCTTAGGGCACTTCAGATTTTCCACTGATACACTATTTTTTTTAAACACTGGGAAACTTCTTATCCCCACTGCCAGGGTCCACTGCGAGAGGACAAGGCTCACCTGACCTGCCCTCTTCTAGACCCCAAGTGCACCCGAGCCTACGTCTGACCTCTGCTTGTTGGACTCTCTATGCTCTTATCTTTGTCTCCCTCAGCCCTGATCAACTTAAACAAAAGTGAGAATGCAGCCCGTCTGGTTTGATGGCGTCCAAGATTGATTTGCTATTCACGGTGCTAAACTCTCCGCTGAGTCCTGTCCTGCTGTGGGGACGCTAGCGGCTGTCGGACCTGGACGCACACAGGGGGTGGGTGCGCGGTCATGAATTCAGTTCGCAGGGTGTTGCTTCTCTGCAGCCTGCTTTGTTCCCTCTCCTGGGCAGCCAGGGAAGCGAGAGCTTCCGATTCCAGCCCCAAAGCAGAGTTCCCGGCGACACTGTGTCAGCAAGTGAGTTCCACAGCTGGCCCTGTGCGCTCGCACAGGCAGCGCACCGCCCCTCTCCAGCCACGCCGTCCCGTGCCGCGCCAGTGCCACACTCTACTCGTGGCTCGGCGTCTGCATGTCTGTCGCTACGTAACGAAGCACCTCGAAATGTGGTGGCTCATACTGAGAGCAGAGTCTTGGAGAGATGTTCGGCACACCGCAGCATTAAGCAGAACAGTGGAGGCAGCCTCAGTCTCCACTGCCAGATGAGTAAATAAACGAAATGTGGTGTGTACATGCAATGGGATATTCGACCTTAAAAAGGAAGAAAATTCTGACACACGCTACAGCATACATGAATCTTGAGGACATTATGTTCAGCAAAATGAGCCAGTCACACAAGGACAAATACTGTATGACTTCACTTATGTGAGGTTCCCAGAGTAGCCACGCAGAGGCAGAAGGTAGACTGGTGGGTGGCAGGGCCGGGGGAGGAACAAGGGGAGGCAGTGTTTAATGGGGACAGGGTTTTAGTGTGAGAAGATGAAAAGTTCCAGAGACAGAAGCTGGTGCCGATTGGACAACAATGTCAATACACTTAATGCCATGGACCTGTACCCCTAAAAATGGTTAATTTTTAATGGTTAATGGTGATACATTTTATGTTAAGTTTATTTTACTACAATGTTTTTCCGAAGCAGCCATGCTGGGAAGGAGCCCCGAGTGGTTGGTGCGTGCAGAGACCGCCGCCTGCCTCACTAGAAGAGCCGGAGGAAGCGCTCCTCGCCGGACTTTGCGGTGGGAAGCACGATGTACGTGCCCGCGCCCCGGGCACCCTCCGCCCAGCCCCAGCGCCATCCCCGTAGACAGAAGAGTAGGAACCAAGGGCCCAGTGTGTAGCCTAGGAAACAAGCCTTCAGCACAAGCTTACCCCAGTTCTTTTTTTAAAAAAACAAAAAGGAAAACAAAATAGTGGCTTTTGAAATAGTATTTGCATATCTTTCTCACAGTTGTGTGCGTTGACCGGGTCCAGCTGGGGACTTGCACTGGGAGCCTCTGGCGCAGCCGGGCGGCGGCAGGGCTGCCTCGGTAGAAGGCAGACGCACATCACGGCTTCTTAACGCAAGGCCAGTGCTCCAGCAGGAATAGCTGCAGCAGCTGGGGCTGCTCCCGCACCTCTCTCTTTTCACACTGCCTCCTGTGGTCAGTGTGAGCATGGTGGTTTTAAAGTGGGTGAACTTCTTAGATGACAGCTGGCTTCCCTCACCATAAATCCAAGAGACCCAGGTGGAAGCTGCAGGGTTTCTAACGATCTAGCCTTGAGTTCATGCCAAGTTCACTTCTTCCACGTTATATTAGTCAAAAATATGCCATAAGCCCAGATTCAGGGGGATGGAATTACACAAGATCATAAATTCAGGAAGGTATAAATTCATAAATTCAGAAGGTGGAGAACCTCTGTGGAGACTAAATACTACAATCCATCATCTTCCTTCAGATAGGGTGATCAACTTCAACTCGTATTCCTGAGTTTACTTTGTATTTCCATTATCAGTGCATTTCCTGCCGCTCCAGGGTTTTAGCCCCAAAGGTCCTGCATTCCAGGAAATCCTTCAGTTTTTGCCAAACCAAGACGGTTAGCACCCTACTTTTAGATCTCCTCCACTTAATGAACTCACCTAACGTTGCATAAGGTTGATCTGCCCAAAACATGTATTTGCCTTAAAATGGCAATTCCAATCCTGATGAGGTCACCACATATTCCTTTGTCTTTCTGGTGGTTGTTCCAGTTCATAATGGTTTGTATGTGACCCAGATGACTCTGGAGCTGTATAAATCCAACAATGTGGCAGTGACATTACTTTTTAGGATTGGACCCACAGTTATTATGTTAATTCAAGATACAGCTGAACACTACTGTATCTTAGATCTAAAATCTCATATGATAAGCCTTAAAATGTAACCAATATAAACCTGAGCGTTCATACGACCCAGTCCTAGTGAGCGTGTCATATTCAAGGAGTCAACAGTTAGACAGGAAAATATAACAGAAAAAGCAATTCAAATTTTACTTGGATTGTGAATACTAATGCACATATTAGTATTATAATACTACATGCATATGTTTTTCCTTGTTGTAATAGCATCAAACATCGCAAAGGAGAAAGAGTTCCGGGCCCACTGGAGTTCCACCAAGTGTCTCTGTGCTCTGGGTGGGGTAATGAGGAAGGGTGCTGTCCGCTCTCCCTCCACTCTAAGGTCACCATTAGTGTTGGAAGACTTCTTAACAATCAGGCAGGTCAACCTCCTTCAGTAGTTTTCTATTGTGTATGTACTCAATAATCCTGGGTGATTGAATGGCCTGGGATAAGCTCCATCTCTTTTAGCTTCAATGTCTACTAACATTTCATATTCTGTTAAAGATATGAGCATGTATATTCTAAGATTTGCATAGAATATATAGAGATGCTAGATCAAAATTTTAGTGACAAATCTTGTTGATTCTGTAGGAACTTTTCCCTACCATCAATCTCTTTTTCTTGCTATGTTGGCTTCAGCGGAATGGCAAGGTAACATTTAAAGACAGGCTCTGTTTTGACACTTTGTGTGTGCACTAATGCGTTCTGTGCTGTCCATCCCAGAGCCCTACTGCACCTCATCATTTTTGCCTTCAGAGTCCCACCTGGCAATGACTCAAGGAGGCCGACAACAGCTCGCCTGAGGATAGATGTCACTGAGTAGCATGGACCTCAAGGGATGAGAGCAGTTGCTCAAAGGAAGGTGAATAATGGCTCGAAGAGAACACTGGGAAGGGAGGGAAAACCTGTATCCCGCTGAGCTCATGGAACGTGGGCATGGACGTGGAGAATTAGCAGACTTGCTCCAGAGGACTGGGAGGGAAGCAACGCCCTTGGGGAGAGCCAGAGGGTAGAGCAGCCTTCAGGGAGGAAGCTGGGATGAAAGGTGAGAGCCATGGGGGTGTCAACTATAGAGTAAAAAGATGTGAGCTGGTCACTGCAGAGGAAGGCTGGGGAGGGAGATGGCAGGGGAAGGAAGAGCAGAGTGAGGCGGTGAAGCTCTCGAGATTGCTGTGAGACAGGCCTGGCCTCATCAGACCCACCCTCACCTCTGTGCCTGTCCCAAGGCAGCCATGTTACTCCAGTGACAACCTGCCTCTTTGTCTCCAAAGATGACATAGAGCCCTCTGCCACCACCCAGATTGAGATTCTTAGGATGGGCTCTCTACTCGGGCCCCAAGGCACTGCCAAGTGAAAACCTTGCCCTCAGAGGACCCAGCTACCCGGAGCACAAGCTTCTTATCCAGGTGGGCTAACGTGGCATACTGTCCCTAGTCTTACCTGCATCCTGCCACCTCCACAAAGCCACCCCCTGGCAACAGAGCACAGGAGTTGAGATCCCAGATTTTTAGAATTAGTAGGACCGGACATTTAGCAGCCATAGATAAGTTTTTAACCGTCTCAACCCTCAGTTTGCTCATCTGTAACAAAGGATAATAATAACTCATTATAATAGTATGTTGCCTCTTGGATTGAGGACCTGATTTCGATGTCTCTTCCTGGTTTGGGCAGTGTCATTCTTCCAGAAGGTGGAGCACTGACTTTCTGGCCATGGACATCCAAACCCTGCATTAAGAAGCACCCTGAGGCTGGATGTCAGGGAAGATGGCATCTAATATAACTTAAGAATTTGGGGACTTCAGAGTCTACTGAAGGCTTGCAACATCTAGGGAAAAGCTTGAATGGTTAACTGTGGTTAGTTTTGATCAAATTTTAGCTCTTAGCATGGTAGCAGCCTCCACCCACCACCACCGTGGCAGGCATCTATGCACATGTGCCAGGAGCAGCTTGCACACAGCTTGTAGGAGCCAGGGTGTATGATAAGGACCCTACCCTCCAAATAGGAATCTTTTCTCTGATCACTGACTGTTGCTTCTGA